TTTTTTTGGGGGGGGGGGGGTGCAATGTCAGTCAACTTGACCAACCTTATATAGAGTTAGGGTAGAGAAAATAATAGATAAAATATAAAGTTTTAGTGAAAACAGACATCTGAAATGTATTTAGGAGGTTTTAGAGATTACACAAATGAACTTTTGGAATTTTGAGATGAAGAAAATTATTTTTAGTCTTAACATGAAAATTAATTTGCACATGAATTATTCAAAACAAATACTCAATACTTTCATGGATAAGACTTTAAACGAGTGCAATAAGGTCACGTGGTCGGTCAAATTGACTGAGCCCATGTGGAGAGAATTAAGTTACAACCATATCAAGATTCAGGCAAGGCTTTAACTTTCAAATGATCAACTACAATATTAGATCAAGTCTCAATCAAGGCTTTAAAATATAGAAGATTCAGTTTAACATTAGATCAAGATCCAATAAAGACCAACTTTCACATGATAAACTACAACAATAATTAAATTAAAACACATGTATCTTACATTAAAAATAATCTCATGACGTTTTAAAACTCAGGGCAACTTTGAATACAAATTATAACATACAAGAACCTAAAACTACTTCAGGTCAACTTACAACACATTATAACTTGTGTTATCTTTGTCAATTTTCAACCCAGCTTTCATCATATAGGATCTTAAGATAAGTTAAACAATATATGACCTAGAACTACACAAGTCAAATTCCAACATATCTTACAATAGCAGAATTCAAAGCATCAACAAAGTTATCTTCTGGCATTGCCATCAGTTGGTCAGCCAGCTCTGATGTTGCTGTCCACACCAATGAGGACTGGTCATCACTGAGCTAAAAAACACATATGAATATATATATAAAGGATGACTTTAAAAGGTCTGGGTAAATGACACTGACAACCTTTTTACTGAGGAAGGCACAAGACTGTTGAAACATAACAAGGCAAGTTTTTAAACATTTTATTTTAATGAAATTGTTTTAACCTTTTGTGTTTTAAACTCAATTTTGTCTGTTGTATCAGTAAAAATGTTTTTAATAAATATGTGTATGTATAACAATCTTTAACCCTCTTCTACGATTAGGTCAAAGCTCATGTGTCACAAAGTCACATTCAATACTTAATTAAACTACTTTATCAATGTACACAGATAAACTTGGCATTAAAACAGAGTTAATAAAGCAAATGTTAAAATTATATCATTTTTAATTTCTTAATTTAAAAAAGAAATCTAAACTAAATCCCCTTGTATGTGTGTATTGTGACATTTGTTTGCTTCAACTTGCCTATCCTATACTTCTTTCATCACCCCTCTCTGACATCCTGAGCTTAATGTACATTGGACACTATAGTATGGATATTACTAAGGCAAAGACTACGATTTATAGACTTACAGAGACTTAAACTAGAAAGTCAGACCCACTCACCATACCCATCTGTCACATCCTTTCTTTACAAAGTGCTAATAATTCTCTTTAACACTTTCTATTACATCATTTATAACGAATAAAAACACAAAGTTTTAATTTACCGAATGACGTATAATGCTAAGTTGTTTTCAGTTGAGATTTTTAGTTATTTTGCCTAAATATTGAAAGTTGCTATCACAAAGTTCAGATAGAGTAGCTAAGGCAATTATTTTAAGACTGTTATGCCATAATTAGAAAGACAGTTAATTATGATAGTTATAGGAAATCGCTTGCTTTGTGCATGTTATTATTCTAGGTTCTTAGGTGCATTATTTCTGTAAATAAAAATTATTTAGTGTATTAGTACAACCAGTGTAAAAAAAAGTAAGCATAAATTTCATTGTCAACTGACTGCAAAACAAGAATAAGTCAAAGGTAAGTACTATATTTCTTGTTTTCATGTATATTCTTTATTTATTGTCATAAAAGTGCCTAAAATGTAAAAATTAGGTAATATAATGAAAGTTAACATTTTATTACACTGAAAATGTATTTCTGATAGGTATTCACCTCATCCCACCTAAAGCTACCTTGATCCTAGGTTGCCCTCTAAGCGTTGCTAAAATATTTTTTGATAACAGCACACCAGTATTATACACCTTCATTTTTGTACCATTTCAGAACATGTGATGATTGTGTGACTACCCTCCACCAATCATACTGTGCCATCTGTACTAGTGCAGCTAGCTACCTCTAGTATTCTAGCACAATACTCACTTTCGAGAATTGACATGTACAAACTAGAAACACCAGCATATCAATGGGAAGGAAGGGTGGGAAGTTGGTTACAGGTCATAAGTATCTATTGGAAATAACTTTTCAATGTAAGAAAATGTTAACTTCCAAAATGGTACTACCTCTCCTCATTCAAAGCTAGAATCCCACATTGCAAAGGTGGAGGGGCCGGAGAAGGCACAACAGTATTCAATGAAGTAGATAGCAAACACCTTGAAATAACATTTTAAACTACCTATGGAAACATGTTCTAAGACGTTTTAAGTTGACGGAAACTGTATTCACTCCAACTCTATTCCTAGACCATTAATTTCAGATAAATATTCAGTCCCAACCAGGGCTTTAAAATATAGAAGATTCAGTTTAATATTAGATCAAACTCCAATGAAAAATAACATTCACGTGATAAACTACAACATTAAATGCAAAAATTAAACACATGTATCTTACATTAAAAAATAACTTTTTCTTAAATTCATGATGAACATACCTCATGTAGTTTTAAAACAATGTTCAAATAGAGTAGCTAAGGTAATAATTTTATAGAAATTTCCAAATTAGGAGGTAGTACCATTTTGGGAAATAATAACTATAATATATATAGGGCGGAATGTAATATGCAGGCACCCAAGCCTCAAGAAAGATATGTACAGCACCTTTCTGGAAGTGTTGATTGACTCAGATATGAAACAGCACAGCGTGGACAAAAATGGAATGTCTAGCGTGTAATCAACAATGGGCCCAAATAAATATGTACCAAGAGTAGAGTCTTGTGGCACACCAAAGCAATGCAGTTGCTGTCCACCTGGGAAAAAATTCAGTGGAAAACAGGATATTGTGAGCAACAACAGCAATTCTCCCTGTTAAAAAAAAACACAGGGGAGCATCTTGAATAAGTAGTTTGATGAAAAGTTGTCAGGTAGTTCAGAATCAGCCCATTGTCAACAGATAGTGCATAATTCGTCCACATATGTAGCAAGTGTTAGCATGGGACATAGTGACAGTTAGTCACAGGAAGATGCCTGATAATGTCCAGCAAAATTGTGACCAAGGACTCAATTTTCAAATAAATTTTCACAACACTTTATAACTTAATTAAAACAATTTCCTATCCATGTCACACAGCAGCATTTCTATGAAAAATATGTTTTATTCAAAGTAAATAGACCGAAGTGATATTGATTCAGCATTTCACATGCTTCCAGAAATTATCCTGGCCTTCGCCTTCCTGGCCAAGCTCAAATACATGATAAATCCCCTAGGAACGGATTACTCTTAACATTAATTCAAGCTACTTTTCCACTGAGAATAAAATACATAAATCATCAGCATGAAATATAATAGGTAATTAAATGCCAAAAAATAATTTACTTAAGTTTTTTGTGTTTAAATAAATATATATATTCAGAGAATAAAATACTTCAACAATCATGAATGATCAATTATATCCATGGCTTCAATTTTGTGGCTAAGGCCAAATACACAATAACACGATAAATTAGAGAGAACAAATCACTCTTGATATGATTCAAGCTATTTTTCCACAGAAAATAAAATACATAAATCACCAATATGAAATAAAATCAATAACTAAATACCAGAAAATAATTTGCTTGCATTTTTTGTGATTCAATAAATCTTATATTCGAAGAATAAATTATTTCAACAATAATCATGATTTGTTTGTTTTGAATTTCGCGCAAAGCTACACGAGGGCTATCTGCGCTAGCCGTCCCTAATTTAGCAGTGTAAGACTAGACGGAAGGCAGCTAGTCAATACCACCCACCGCCAACTCTTGGGCTACTCTTTTACCAACGAATAGTGGGATTGACCGTCACATTATAATGCCCCCATGGCTGAAAGAGCGAGCATGTTTGGTGGGATGGGGATGCGAACCTGCGACCCGCAGATTGCGAGTCGAGCATCCTAACCACCTGGCCATGCCGGGCCCAATAATCATGAATGTTCATTTACACTGTCATTTTGGTAGTCACACACACACACACACTTTTCACAATGTAACTTTGCTGCCAATGATCTGCTGCATGCAAATGATAACTGACAGCTAGGGCAGTTATGTCAAAGCAGACAAAGGTAAGATGTTTTCGAAAGGATCTAACAACCGACAAAAGTTGCACCAAATAGAGATCACAAAGATTATGAAAAGAATCAACATCCAAAGAGGAATTTCCAGGTATAGACCTATCCATACACAAAACCCATCTAATGATCTATATCCTAATGTTAAGTTGCCAACATAAAATTATTGGTCAAATGTGATCACACAAATAATTAAGTTAAAATTTTTAAAACATAAGTAATTTGAACAAATGCTTTAAGCATTTGGTATTATTTGCCCCTACATACTTAAAAATTCAAACTGACATTGCATTTTTCCGTTAGGCATTTTAGGTATTTTAGCATTCATTTAACTATTGTTACATTTTATAACTCCCTCAGACTCGCTGGAAAGCTGAATTCTCTTGGACTGAAGTTGAAGATGATGACACAGGGAAGTTTTGCTGCAAAGTCTGCAGAAGTATGCCAGACTAAAAAATCACCTTTCTTTAATGGGACCAATTCCAATATGAAGACCTCTGCTTTCTATGATCAAGCTAAATCAAAGTGCCATGTGAAATGACAAGGGATACAGGATGCAGCAAAGTAAAACCAGGTTGAAGTAAGGCCAAAAGAGCTCGAGTCGATAACAGCTGCTGAAAAAAAGAGAGGATTTTTCGGCTAATTAGCTCAGCTCATGCACTTGTACTATATAACCATCCTTTTAAGGACTTTGTATGGTTAATGGAACTCCAAACAAAAAATGGTGTAGATGTTGGCACAACTTACATCAGTGATCATCCAAGTGCTGCTTTAACTAAGTATATTGCAAAGTCTGCAAAGATTGAAGTGATGGTTCTACAAATACTGCTTTGAGGGAAGTAGAACTATTTCACTTCCATGCTGCAAAACTAGGGGTGATTACAGTATTTCTTGTTGCCTGCAAGGTTGTAGACCATCCAAATTCTGCAAGTATTCTGGCAACAATGTTAGAAGCACTAAAAGAACTGAACATTGCAGAGGAACATTTTCACCACCATATTGTTGGTTTTCCTTGGGATGGGGCTGCAGTCAACTTTAGGGCCAGGGCAGGCATTGCAATGGAGTTTAAACAGAAAGCAAGTTGGTTCATCCCAGTACATTACATAGCTTATAGAGTAGAACTGGCTATCAAAGATGCAGCCAAAGAATTGAAGCACCAAAAAGTTTTAGACGAGTTCCTTTTGAGCATTTACTTGTAATATCAAAATTCATCAGTAGCCAGGACTGGACTGATCAAATCAAAAAAGGTGGAAAACACCGAGAAAAGGCTCCCTACACAAGTAAAAGGCACATGTAGGTGCAACATATAAATATAGAAATAGAAAACCTACTCAAGGTATACCCAGCATTGATTGCACATTTAAAATGCTGTCTCCAATGATCAGAGTGCATCTGCTGCCCCCAAAGGTAAAGCAAATGGTTTTCTGAAACATCTAAGATCAAGAAAGATGGTTATCTATCTTCATCCAATGTTAGACATCACATCATCCTTTAGAGAATTTTTTTGAAAGAGTGCAGAGGCAGGATTCTATCCTAAGTGATGTTTCCAAGGCCCTAAATGCAACTCTAGAAGAGTTGCAAAGATATAGGACATGGGATGAACCAGCTCTTCATGGGTTACTCAAGGACAGCATGCAAGAGGACTTCACATTTCACCTTGGTATCACAGAGTTGCAGAATGATTCAACAAGTTTTGGCACAGAGAAGATCCTAAATACCTTAATTTATCATCTTGAAAAAAAAGGTTTGGAAACCTGAATGACCCAAATATCTCGGCACTTTCAGTGTTCAAAATCAATACATGGCCATTGAACAACTAAGAGCTCTTAAAAAGTTTGGTGATACTGAGATCCAGGTGCTCTTACATCATTTTCAAGAACCACACAATCTGTGCACAACATTCAGTCCAGATGCAGTTATAAATGAATGGACCATCATAAAGACAATTGTTATCCAGTCTGTGACTGATCAGACAAAGGGTACAAATCAGAGGGTTAACAATGCAGCAATCGAGCAGGAAATTTGATGGTGAGGTGGACATGATAACTTTCCTACATTCATTGTTATTATACTCATCCTGCAAGCACACAGTGCTGAAGTAGAGCATGGATTCAGTTTGTACAAACTAGTGCATACAGGTTTGCTGAATGGGCTTCAACCAGAGACTGTATCAGACCTTATGAAGATAAGGTTACATACAAAAAATGTAAAAGAGTATGATTCTGAACCAGCCTTCCACCTATGGAGATAAGCTGGCACCAGATCAAAGTGGCCTTCAACAGCTACATATGGATGATGAAAGAAAAAACAAAAGGCACATATATCTAATTTTGAGGATGAATCACTAATTGCTCTAGAATAGGAGTATGACTTAGATGACTTAGAGAGCAGAATGTGAGATAAATGATGATATGACAGAAACTCAATGTGAAGAAGTCAATCTCATTTAATTATGATGACTGTTATCTTTTGATCATAAAAACTGATAATTACTTAAGTTTATTGATTTCTTTGTTAATTCTATGAATATTTTATAAGTCACACATTTAAGTGCTTCTGACAAAGTTGAAAACAATGAGGTGAAACTGAGAAAGCTCAAACTGAAGAAGCCAATCTCAGATAATTTTCATTATGATGATTGTTAACTTTGGGTAATTAATTTTTATAAACCTGTGAGTTTATTACTTTATAGAACATAAATAAAGAGTTTTGTGTGATAAATTAATAACTGATTAGTTTGTTAAATTATACCATATGATAAATTCAAATCACACAATGTGCTTCTTACAAACAAATTAAAACATGAACTATCATAGAAAAATTGGGGTCCAACAAATATTTTTTCTGCCTGACCTCCTGACAACAAATGGTGTAGATACTGGCACAAATTACATCAGTGACCATCCATGTGCTGTTTTCACTAAGTACATTGCAGAGTCTGCAAAGACTGAAGTGATGGTTCTACAAATACTGCTCTGAGAGAAGTAGAACTATTTTACTTCCATGCTGCAAACTGGGCAGTTTGGGATGTGGATAGAGGAGGAGCAGAACTGAAAACAGAAACCTTCAGTTAGAAACTGCAGAACCCACAGTACTGTTGTGAAGTGGCCAAAAACACATTTAAGATGCTTAGAGAAAGTACTCAATACTAACAAAACTTAGAAATTTGTAGAGTCTACAATGTACACAAAAAAATTTAAAAACTATGAAATTCGACCTAAAACAATAAGCAACACCTAAAGTACAAAACCACTAAAGGAACTTAGAAGATAAAAGACCCTTAAATACCAAACATACAAGTCCACTCAAAGAATCTATATGACAAAGGACATGAAAGTAAAACCTTCCCTGAAGAATACGAGAATAAAAAGGCACCTTGACAATAACAAATTTTGTCTCAAATCTAATCCCCAATTAGATGTGACTAGTAATAAAGAAAAAGAAACTTACAAATTTAAACACAAGTAACTTAGAAGGTAAAAGAATTTAAAAAATCTAACTTACCAAATATTGAGTAGGGAAAACATGAAAGACCTAATTATCGAGTGCAGAAATCAAGTCCATCCACAGAAGCATACATAAACTTGCCAAACATGAGTATACCTACTGGTAGTGAGGAATACACACTGAAAAACTTACCACAAGTCTCCTGGGAAAAAGAACAATACCTAACCCAGCATATTACACAGAGGCGTAACAGGTTAAAAGCGACATTGAAAGAAATTTCCATACAGTAGTTATATCCTTCCTCACAAAAAAATCATAATGTGAAAGAAGAAATCGTTGGCCAAATGCAAGACATGAACTCCCTGCAAACTAAAGCATGTGCTTCCCTAGCAGACATCGTTGACCCCGAGACCTGGGGACTCATGTCAAAACCATTGTCTACTAATACGGGAATTTCTTAAATTCATATGAACAAATTAGAATTAGTAAAACAGAAATATTTCTAAAACAAATGAGTAGAAACAATGATTATCAAACACAAGAAGTTGAAACTAAAAGTTCAAACTGATACGAGTTTGTGATCAAGCACAATTAAAATTTTGTAGTCACATAAAATGAGTTGAAACATACGTCTATACACTAGAATGTCAATTGAGAAAGTTAGAATTGTTTTAGAATAGTAGAGGGAGCTAGCTGTGCTAGTATAGATGGCACAGTATGATTAGTGGAGGGTAGTCACATGATCAGCACAAGTTCTGAAATGGTGCGAAAACAAAAGGTATAAAAGACTGGTGAGCTGTTAGCGAAATATTTTTTTAGCAATGCTTAGAGGGCAAACCAGGATCGAGATAGCTTTGGGTGAGGGAGGTTGCACCGTTTCTGAAAATAATGACTATAAAATATTTTCTTCACAAGGTATGCTTTTGAATAGCATGTGCATTAAATCATTCAATACAGTAACTTGAGCTACATGTCCGCTGGGTGAGTTAGAGCTTGTATCATGGGATTATTAGTTCAAATAGCAATAAAAAAATAAAATTAAGTAGAAACAAATGTAGACTGTTACAAGCCTTAAGCTACTTCAAATAAACAACTGTAGCTTTCTGTTACAATATGCAGCAATTCTAGAAAGAAAAATTAATTTGAATTTATTTGGTAATTTTTGTGGTGGTTACAAAGTCAGTCAAATCAACAGAGTTTGAACAGGGTTAGGACAGAAAAAATAGCAGATCAAATACAAAATTTTAATTAAAAAAAATGCTTGATATTAATTTAGGAGCTCTTAGAGATTATGCAAATAAGATTTGTAAACTGTAAGATGAATAAAAGTATTTTAACCTTAACATGAAAATCACCTTACACTCAGACTAGTCAACACTAGCTCCATATATCCACATACAAATCTTTAGTAAAAATACTTAATTAAAAAATTAGACTTTTTTGTGCATAAAAGTTTTGTAAAGTTTATTAAAAGCTTGCTAAAGTTCATAAATATACACATACCACACTAAAAGTTATAGTATGGATACTTTCAGTCAAAATAACCGAGCCTATTTGGAAAGAGTTAACTTGAAAGCTACCATTTTCCAGACAAAGTACTTCCACTTCTAAAAAACATTAATTAACATATTTTACACTTTTTTTAATTACACTCTATGCCACTAGGATGCTTTTTTTCTTCTTACTTTTACACTAAAGTGACAGCAATATTTCAAAAATGACATATCTACTTTATGAGTAAATGCTAGTGTATGAGAGTACAATCAGAATTCCATTTTTTTACAATACCTATTAATATTAATTTTTGGTCCAAGCACACTATGTACTTAAAGAAAAACTAAACATCAACCTGGCAATCGGTATAGCTAATTAAATACACCCTTCTCAAATTTATACTTATAAAGATTAAGACTCCATTGTTTCATTAGTTCAGTGCCAGTATATTTGGCCATATATTAGAACAACAAAGAAATTTAGGTGAGGTAAACTAAGTTTTACTCACTGGTAATAGTGCAATTGGTCCTGTGCTTATGAACCTTTGCCATGCAACATTGTTTTCTGTTGGCTGAAATGGAAAAATACAAGTTTTAAATAAAATGGTAAGTGAACCATGTTGTGTAAAGCATTAGAGCACTAACATATATAATGAAGCACAATTTCAAAACACAGCTGGAACAAAAAGCTTTACTGGATAAACTAAAAGTGACAATTTGAATGATTGTATGTACTATAAAAATCTCATAGAAAAACAAAAGACAATTTTCTTTCCTAATTAATGTGATTAAAATAATCTTTAATGGTAAATGCTTTTTCCCCACATTCCTCCTTAATTAGTTATATTGCTTTGCTGATAAAGCAATATGGTTTTTTGTGCCTTTTAAAATGATTAAATAATGTTATTTTGACTCCAATAAATTCATCCCTTGATGAGTTCTGGAATTTAACAAAAGGCCTCCCAGGCAGAGGTTTGTGGAAGAAGAAATGTAGATCTGCTAAGCTAAGTTTACATACCTCATTAAAAATCCTTAAATGACTAACTAAGAGGAATGTGAAAAAAATTCTGCAGTCAAACATAATGTTAATTGTTTCTGTTTGACCTAAAATGACGCATTGCACCACATTAAATATGCACATACAAATAGCTTTTCAAATATATGTTTGGCTGCAATAGATGTAGCCCATCTCACGAGTTCTGAAACGGAACAAATAACATCCTAGGCAGTGATTTGTGGCAGAAAAGATAAACATGAGATGTTTTTACACACTTCAGATTAGAAATAAATAACTGACTAACAAAAAATAATGTGAAGTGAAAATATCAGCAGTCCAACATGATTTTAAACACTTCTGTAACAAATAAAAACTCATTGCTTGCAATAGGCAAGCTTCTACCACTGCATTTTCAAAGATGGCATTTTTTTTTTATATACACAATGTTATACTCCATGATAGCAAGACATATGATTATATAAACATGAAGCCACACATAGAAAATGAAAGGTGTATTTAAAGAATTGATCTTATACTTCTGATCTACATAAACCATTAGAACTATAACAATATTGGATTTATATTCTAAAATATGAGTTTAAAAACCCATCAAAATATATATAACAAAATGTATAACAGAAACAACTAATTTTCAAATGGATAGTTTTTGAAACTAATAGTACAGTATTTTAACTGAAGATCAATTCTTCAGCTTTTGTTCCATTTTGTACTTACATGGTACATTGATAGTTTAAATACTCTTTAGAAAAACCAACTGCTTTATTAGAATTTAAGGTTGCAGACAAACCTCAGAAAGCTTTAATGTTGCCACAATAGCCTTCTGGTCATAGTTCCAAGCTGTATAATTCACATTCATGGTCTTTCTTACCAGTGATCGCATCCCATCAGCTCCGATCTTGAACAGAAAAAAAGCAACAGTATGTGAAATTATAACAATAACATAACATAATGTTTTGGGACAACATGGAACCTACTGGTCCATCTCAGCTGTTCCATCCTCTAAACAAAACTAAAACTATCAATAAATAAATATATATATACATACATAAAACTTAAAGCCAGCCCTAATCATTCATATATTCATATACTTATCAAGCTTTTCCTTAAACTCACTTAAATTTACTGCCTCCACAACATCTGAAGGCTCACCACCCTGTTAGGAAATTAATCTGTCTTAGCTGAAGATGACTGCTATCCTGCCAAAATTTATACTTGTGTCCCCTAGTCCTACTATTCTAACTTTTAAGTATGAAAAAAGATAATGCAACAACACTATCAATTTCCTTTATAATCTTACACACCTCAATCAGATCACCTCTATTTCTTCTTTTTTAAAGAGAAAACAATTTGAGAGATTTAAACCTCTCCTCGTATGATAACCCCTCC